TTATGTTTGATACTCTCTTATAACACACATCTAATCTTCTGGCGTTCATATGACCGTATACAGTTGCGAGCGCCGTAAAACCTATAATGAACGGTTTTTACATGCTTATATTTCGTTCTTATGTTTCAGTTTCAAAGAGAGGGGAGCCCGATATGTCCTACAGCAGCTGTCAGAGGTAAGTGTCTGTGGGCGCCGCGCTGTGACGACTGTACTGCCATGATCTGATAAAACGCATTTTTTCTCAAAATCAAGGTTTCGAGATAATCGCAATTTGGCGTTTGTTTGCTAATTTAAACAAACAAATAGCAACGTTGTTTTTGTTTGACTATCCCATATGAAGATATATCTCATTTACCATGACTAAGCCAAATTTAATCGAATTTGAGCTAAAGGCAAACGAATAAGAAGAATGCGTTTTATCTGATCACCCTGGTAGAAATGCGTTTTACTTTCAACCATTTATTCCCAGAATGATCTGACAAAACACATTTATTTTTTGCCTCTCGTTAACTACCATTCTTGAACCTACGGACAGAAAAGGCGATGTTGGAACCTGCCTGTAGCGCAGAGGGGTAAACGTTTTGATCTGCCGCTCAGAGGGTTCTGGGTTCGAGTGTGAGTGGGACCCCAATTCTTCTTTCTGTTATGTTATTCCTACAACTACAATAATTTTTTTGGTCTCTTCCCTATGTTTGGAGGGCTTAATAATAATAATAAATAGAATTTGTATGGCGCATGTCCTCCCTCGAAAGCAAGCTCTATCGCTTTACACTATATTATTACCACAGCAGACCATAGAACACTCAGAAACATTCTCAGCTTTCCGGGAAGCGTACAGTGCGAGCAGCTGGTTAAGCGCTAAAACACTAACACTCTGACAAGATCTTTCATGGTCTATAGCTGGGTACCCATTTTCACCTGGGTGAAGTGAGGAACATTTGCGTAAAGTGTCTTTCCGAAGGACACAACGTCGGGCCGCGGCACGAGCTCCCGAATCTGCAACCTCACGATTACGAGTCCGGTAGCCTAACCACTAGGCCACTGACTTCTATTTTTCCACCGACAAACTCGGGGCAGAGGCTGTCCCTGGTTTAGAAAGGTGGAAACACGGGATAGAGGCTATCCCTGGATTAAAAAGGTGGAAACACGGGACGGAGGGATCCTTGGATTAGAAAGGTGGAAACACGGGATAGAGGCTATCCCTGGATTAGACATGTGGAAACACAGGGCAGAGGCTGTCCCTGGATTAGACATGTGGAAACACGGGATAGAGGCTATCCCTGGATTAGACATGTGGAAACACGGGATAGAGGCTATCCCTGGATTAGACATGTGGACACACGGGATAGAGGCTATCCCTGGATTAGACATGTGGAAACACAGGGCAGAGGCTGTCCCTGGATTAGAAAGGTGGAAAATGTTTGTTCGAGGCGTATGCCCTGATATAGGGTGAGAGAGGCATTGATAATGATGATGATGATTATGATGATGATAATGATGATGATTTTGTGGGAGGGGGGAGGGCGGGAGGTAGGAGCTGGGATTGTGTCTCAAAATTGTGTCCAACAGCATGTGGAAATTCTGCGATCGTGCATTCAGAGCATTAATTATGTGCTCAGTCAGCCGTTGAGCTCAGCCCCCCAGTCTCACACGTCTCCTCAAACCAACCCTGTTCCTCCACATAGACAAAAACAAACAAAGCAAAAAATAAACCCTCAAAATCAAAACAAAACAAAACGAAAACAGCGCAAGCAGTGAAGTTTTCTCTTACCTACCACATGTTGCTGCGTTGGCAAAACGACGATGTTATTTACAATTTGTGAAGTGTGCTCATAAAATTAGTTACTTTTCGGATTCGAGCCCTTTGGAAATAGATACTATTATTACATGATATAAAAGTGACGCTTTTACAGTCTATAAGTATGAAAGGCATGTTATACATGTACTTAAAGAAAATGGCATCATTAGAAAATCTAAAAAATTTACCCAAGTGTCGATTTCGGCCAATATCTCCATTTATGGATTGCGAGGAGTAACTCATTTTGTTAACACGCTTCGCATTTGTTTAGGTAAAAAATTCCTTGCTTTGTAAGCGGAAGGCACGACAACATCGAGGTCTTAAGATTTTTGTTATTTATTTATTAAATTAGAGTTCATGAAAAAAGCGAGCAACTGTTATCATGCGACGAGTCAGGCAATTGGTTTGTGGATCCTCCAATTTTTCCCCATAATTTCTGATTATTTTCCTTTACCATTCTTTGTTAAAATTAACTGAATCGTTTAATTTCACATTTTTGGGCCCAGTTTCCATAATTTCAGATTTTTTTTCCGCCTAAACGACGGGGACAGCAAGCTGCCCAACACAGGAGACCCGAGTTCCATTTCCCAGTCGGGGGAATCTTTTTGCGAGTGTCTCATCTCATCTCAATCTTTCTGTAGGGGTTAGATGTTGTATCCCTCTCACCCCGGATTGGCTCTCCTAACAGACGGGGTCGGAGGCCGCCTCCTAAATTTAAATGATATGAATTGTGTCATAATTTGGAATGTAAAAACACCTGCCCTGTTGCTTTATGCAAACACCTACTTGTGGGTGGTTGGCGGGTGCTCTGGCGTGGTTTGGTCCTTCTTTTCTATCAAACATCTATCGCCCTTATCTCCCCTTCTTCTCTTTTATGTTTGTTACTCTCTTGTAACACCTCTAATCATCTGGCGCTCTTAATGACCTTATACAGTTGCGAGCGCCGTAAAATCTCTATTAAAACTACCCCCCCCAAAGAAAAACAAACAAAAAACACCCAGCTATTTTATTCCTTCAGAATTCGTCCCCTACTTTATTGGTTTATTTATTATATACTGCACGACATCTTCT